GTACAGACACTTACGGACTGACTGATGGCTGCGCGCGTGTGTGCATGGCCAGACGCACGGATGCATCACCCGCTCTGCATTGCCGTGGCATGCACGCGCCGGCCGGACGCATGGCATGCCTTACACCTCTTCCAATGCAAAGGTGCTTAGATGAGGTGCTAAATGCATTAAATACCTTAGCAACTCAAGTCCCCAATGCATAGGTGCTTAACTTGTTGTTGCTAAGCACACTTTATTTAATAAGTTAGCACCTGAAGTCTTTCATGCATTGGCCAAATTGTTTTATTTAAGTGGTTTGCCTAGGTTCTGGCGCTTGACATTGGTTCTTCGGTTGGTCGTAATGGTAGTATCATAGCTAGTATCATGCATGCCAACTAGGCAATTTTGATGAGGTGTCATAGTATTAAATGAAGAAAGAGATGGTGTAGTATCATATTATGATACCGTATTATAATATATGCTATGCTACTTTGTGTCATGCATGGCAATAAATAAAGTACTACTCCCTCCGTCACAGTTTAGAAGGCACAGTTAAATTTGCGTGCATTTCCATAATAGACAAGGTTTATGGCTCATTGCATTTATTTCTAGTAGCTAATTAGTACTCCGGAGTACTATTTCTATATGCATGCATAGTGTGAATGCTATTTTTTAGCCCATCTCACAACCAATAGATAACCACCTAGGTCCAAGAGAATTTCCAAGCGCGCCTTCTAAACCGTGACGGAGGTAGTACATGATACTAAAATATGATACTATGCATTAGAAAGGTAGTATCATACACTAGTATCATATGCATGATACACTAGTATCATGTGCATGATACTAGTATATGATACTCCCCATTACAACCAGTCTTTCTGGGGTCACCAAAATACTCTCTCCCCTCCTTAAATGTTGTGCCATGTCATTTTTTTGCTTATGTGGCATGCTTAGCACCTGTCCACGGTGGAGCACTGGGAAGGGCCTTACGATGGCTCGATGACCCGGTGTGCAGTAGCAAAGCAACTGCCAGCGCTGCTGTAGAGACAAGCGAGGCTGTCCTCCTGCTGAAGCAGCACGACGTCGCCGCGCAGAGCACACCCGCACGGCCGCACAGCCCCCGGACTCCAAGGTACCGAAGCTGAAAGCCCACACACGCAGCAGAAAGAACGTTGTGTATGGAAGGAGAACAAACAGAAACGGCGATGGCCACCGGCCGGCCTCTGCATGCATGCGTGCGTGCGTGCGTGCGTGCATGGGGGCGTACGTCAGCCCAGCTCGGCTAGCTCACTCCACACTGCACATCGCAATCCGTGCATGTAATGGGATGTGGCATGACCGACGTAGAGTAGTACATAGACGGCTACTACGTACTACTACGTAGGAGTAGTAGCTGAACTGTAGGAGTACGTATGTGCTGAAGGTAATAACTGCTACTCCTACGTACTACCAGCGAGCCGTGCGTGCGTGCAACGCGTCCTGGCGCGACACGGTGAGAAACAAAACAATGGCGGCACGGCACGCACGGTCGATCGTACGGACGTGGCGATGATGGCTATGCCCGTGCCGCTCCTCGCCGGGCAGCTGCTTTTCGACCGAAACGGTCGATCAGGTGGAAGCTGGTATGGACTCTCGTTCGTAGCAGCAAGCATTTTTCTTTTTCTTGCAGCTACTAGAGGCGATCGACGGTGACAGTAGTAGTAATAAATCTCTGTACATATGTTTGGTGTGGTAGCTGTACCTGTACGTATCTACTCCAGGCCTCAGGCATGTGCACTACATGCAGTACGACGTCATTTAATTTCAGCAGCACTTGGATCCGATCCGAGCTCAGTACGTACCTGCCCGCACAGATGAACAGCAATGTCGCCGCATGTACGACCTAACCCGCCCGTAATTGCACACGTACCTTCGTCCAGAATTCTGGATTACTGAAGTCGTTAGGCCGTGGTGCAAATTAAGCAAAGGGCTGACCAGCAGCACATCCATCCATCCATCAATCTGCATCCGTCCGATCATCCATCCATCCGTCCGTCCATCCATCCATCGCCTTCTCCTTTTGTTTTCGCTCCGGCCTGCATGCTGCAGCCCGAGAGGAGAGGAAGCCCACGCAGCCAGCCATCCAAAGCCTGCTGCAGGACGCAACACCGATGCACAAACTACGTAGCAGCGGCGAAGAGACATGTGCTTGGATCCACAAGGCAAGGCAACGCGAAGGTACACCGCCCACGGACACGACACCTGCAGGCTGCAGGGCGCCATGCCGCGGCCGGCCTGCGCTCGGGAGCGCTTCCTCTTCGGTCCGTCCCTCCTTGATTTCTTCCCGGTTTCCGTCGTCCCGGCCATGCCGCTGGCTCCAGGGACCAGACCAGTGGCCATGCCGCTGGTGTGAGATGAGATCGATGGTCAGTCAGATGACGATGACGACGAGAAAGAAAGAGGCAGCGGCAGGAGGGCAGGGCAACGCCACATTGCCATGAGCCCCGAGACGTCACTTCGTGTTTTGACTCTTTTTCAATACTTATTCGAGATTCGACCCTACCTTGCAAAAAAAATCGGGATTTGACCCTTTTCTTACCGCCAAAGTCCATGGCGATAGGGTATAACAGTCTACCGCCAAAGCCCTGATGGTAGTGTTGCACATCATACCGAAAATTTTTCTGAAGTATGAGTCACGGTGCAGCTAGCGCCTATCGCCGGACGCCTTGGCGGTAGGATTGTATAGCCTACCGCCAGCCTGTTTGGCGGTAGAGGTGTTTCCTACCGTCAAGGTCCCTGGCGGTAGGCTGTTACATCTTTATTTCATGAAACCTGGCGGTAGCAAAAGGGTCAAATTCTGAAAATTTTACAAACTAAGGTCAGATCTTGAATAACTTTTAAAAAAGTGTCAGAACACGGAATTTTGCCTCACCGACACGGTCTTCTCTATCGGTCACCGGCAATGTGGATCCAAATCCAAATGCAAAACCTGGGCTTCCGCCCCATGTATCCTACTCCTACTAGTTTGTTTGACCCTGGTACATTCGGCTGATAACACGCATGGCATGCATGCGTAGTTGTCTATAGTACTTCCAAGTGGAAAACGCATGCTACTTATGAATCGACAGTGTATATTCTGGCAACATGTTGATGGTATAGAATAATACCACTGACGATAAACAGTCGATGCTCGAACGCCGTAACAGTCAAAAGAAGAATCAGGGATCGCTCAAAGCAACGCGTGCCTTTTATTTTTACCCGCTTTATCTTTTTATTTACTGCTGCACACAGCCCCAGCCGCCCTTTATCTTTCAACCTCCCCGCTAGATCTCCCGTCTCTCATGTACTGTAAGTCCGTAACCAACAGCTTTCAGTCTACTCAGATCTACTACTGGTGTACGTACGTATTGTGTTTTTTTCACCCAGGTAAAGCAGTCAAGGGTCAAAGAACCAGCCATTAACTCCAAATTAACCGTGACGGTTAAGTGCGCCGTACGCCGGCAGGTGTGAGATCGCATCACGTGACTCCCCTCCGCCTCCGGCCAGGGACCAATTAAAGCAGGTCAAGTCAAACCATGTTCTTCCATTCATCAACTAGCCAAACACCGTAGACTGCAGAGCAAGCAACAGCAAAAAAGAACTCTGGAGATGCTCCACTTGATTCAGCTAATATACTATCTTGATGCTCCACTTGATTTACCCTGACTAAGCACAGTAACTTCACATGATTCTGTTTAATTTTTTTATCATAGTTATATGAAAGTTGAATGAACTTATAATTTCGGTTAGTCGATTTTGCGGAAGAAGGAATCGTTGGAGCAAGAAAGAAGAAGGACCGCCGTTGGATCTTAATCTAATGGCCTAGAAATCGATTTTCAGCCGTTGGATCTTAATCTAATGGCCTAGAAATCGATTTTCAGGCAACTTACGTATAAGTTATAACCATGATGAGGCACTGCACCATGTATTCCAATGAGGAAACAGGCCTCTATCCAAGGAAAAAACACAATGCATGCACTGGGCTTCACTTTCCATTTCATGGCCACAGCAACAAGCCAAGCAATGAGTGAAGCAAATGGAGGCATCATGTAGCTTCTGAACGACATCACCAGAAAGGCAAGCATATGATGACAGCTTTGCAAGCCTCTCAAGTCACATCAACACATATCATTCCCCCCTCACACCAGAAAAAATCATCATCCGGAAAAACTAACAACTACTCCCTCCGTTTCAAAATAGATGACCCAACTTTGTACTAACTTTCTACTAAAGTTAGTACAAAGTTGAGTCATCTATTTTGGAACAGAGGGAGTAATTTTGTTGGTCCAATCCAAGTATCATCCCCTCCGCCGAACTGCAATGATTCTAGCACCTCATGCCGATCCTACATACATACACTGGCCGCCAGCTTGATTAATTTACAGGGTTTCCAAAGGAGAAAAGGGGGAGAAGAAGAAAAAAGGCGATGATTGGAGCTTGCTGATGCCTCCATACAAAGGGGGCGACATTGACTGGCTGGTTGAGTTGTATAGTCAGTGATGTGAGCTGGCCGATTCTTCCGATGAACAAAGCCGATCGCCACCGCGGGCAAATTGTTAGTTGCAAAATTGCCCACCTATCCTGAAACAGCAGGAGAGAGAAATGTTAGGCCAATGTGAGAGTTTCGGGCTTCACTCGCCGGCCGAGAAATCGGTTTTTACCTCTATGTTAGCTTTTGCAGCTATATGTTCCCCACGCCCACGCATCTCTCCTAGGCTTTACATCTCGGCAGTTACTAAAATGTTAAAAACAGATGGAAAAATATTGCACATTCACATCTGGTCATCCAACAGATCTTGCAACCAAGTTATTCATCGGTGAGGACCGATCAGCCTGCATCGCATAAACAGCAGAGATGTGTTAAACAAAAGAAATGCATGTAAAAGAAAAGGCAGTTTATTTTTAATTGAGAAAAAAAGGCAGTTCTTAATTGAGAAGCAACTAGTCAGCTTGTTCATACATAAAGGGTAATGCTTACTTATAGCACGGAATCGCCTGAATTAGTAGAACTTTATGTTTCCATGGCTGTGAGCATACGGCAACAGCTCTTCCACCTCAACTCTAGAACTGAAATAGCCCATGTTTCTTCTCCTCTGGTGGAGAATTTCAACCTCCGCCATAAAAATACTGTACACTGGTCTGTGGTCGGAGAAGCGTGATTCTCCTCGGACATATGACAACTGAATGAGGCCGGTACCATGCCACAAAATACGATCACACCTTTGATAAGAAAAGAATAAACTTCCTCAGTAAGTTCCTTAGAACTAGAGTTCAGTAGAAGGGTGTTCTGGTTGACTAAAGTACTAAAGAAGTTACCAAGCTGGCGTTCGCCTCTTTTCCTTGGGACGCACACCATAACCAGAATACCGGTCTGAGTTGAAAGAGTATTTATATGTTGGAGGAAAATAAATCCTTCCTTCTTTCCATCCTGGGAAAACATGTCCGCATCTCCGCTCTATACGAAGCTGTTCAAAAAGAAGCAATTCAAGCATGGCCCTGAAATTAACCTTGCCAAGCATGGCCTGAAATTAACCTTGCCATGTAATTGAGTAGTGTAAATACCTGATCTCTCTCCAACAGTTGCCTCCAGTTATGTGTTTCAACCAGAACTTTTGCTGACGAGTATGGAAGAGAAATCCGGTAATTCAAATCACCTAGCCATAAGATACGGCTGCAATTAGAATGAAAAATAAGTTAGCAATAAGTTTTCTCTGGCTTCCACATTACTATGTTGACAAAGGAAACACAAATCCGTACTCGTGCTCAAGAATTGTCTCCGGTGACTTAACATCGCCACATCCGCGGACACGAGGAAACCTTGTCTTCCTTAAGATCTCCATGACATCAGAATTTCTGCGCAATTCATCTCCCTCCTTTTCCCCAGAGGTCAAATGACAACAGACAAAACAGAAGGTTGTATGATGCAGAGACATGCTTATTGATATAGAACCCTGCAGCAAGTGAAAAGGAGTTTGAGAATTAATATACAGTATAATAAGCTAATAACAATGAATCATACAAGATTATCGAAATCAAATAAGTGCAACTTGTACAATGTACATCATTTACCTTATTTCCAAGATAACCCATTAGTCCTCTACCTACGCAGGAAACTTTCAGGTTTCTAATATCATTTCTTATTTCACTGCGTACCCAAACTGTGAGAAATATGCCAACCATCTGTTTGCTGGCAACCAAACAATACCTGTTGCAAACACAAGATTTGTGTTAGTGCATAAACTTAACTAAAGCATCATCATGAAGATACGAGTACAACTGCTGAGCATAAATATTTGCAGACAATTTTAATTATATTCACACAGGGAACTTAGAAGAACAAGCCTATGTAAATTTTAATGGAACATGCCAAAAGATAATACCTAGAAGTATTTGGCTGCTCATCATCTTCTTCCATAGGTGTTGAAGTACCATAGCCATATGGGAATGGTGAAAAATATGCTCCATTACTTATATCCTCATCAATATATTCATCGCCTGGTGATCCCATACACTGGAAATTTCCATCAAAATCACTTGGTCTGCCTCCAATGTTAACTGGGTCACACACACTAAACCTACGGTCCAATCTTGGTTGTGAGAACATATCGTTTCCTGAAACCCTTAAACTCCGACTAAGGTTCTGGAATGATCGACGGTGGAAAAATGATGAGCTATCCTGTCTTCTCAATGATCCCTCAAAATCAGCATCTAGTTCCACAACCGGATCAGGGACAGGGGATGGCGTGCGATAGCCACCGTGACTGCTAGGCCCAGGGTTCTTGTTCAGCGTCCTCCTAATAAGTGAGACCCACTTCTTCGCTGGAACATTGTCTTCGGTACCAAGAACATTTCCAGCATTCAAAGGAACAATTTCTTGAAATCTGCAAAGGATTGAAAAACATAGTTAAAGGACATAGCTCTCGTCAAGAACACAGTACTTGAAGTACAAAATTACAAGATGAAGGTCTCAGAGGCTTTGACAATACATACCCAAGCACATAGATATCAGCAGGAGGTGAAGAGTGTAGCCAGTCATCTAAATCTAACCCCCTTGATGGGCATTTACCACCAACATTCCACGTCGAGGCAAATATTCTGCACAGATAAGGAAGCAACATAATGATACACCAGAATGCACCAGGGAAGTAAAATTGTGAAAACTAACTATGGTAACTATGATCTGAATAATATGACCAGTATTGCATCGAATTCCTATTACTACAAGGCAAAGAAGCATAGACAGGAACAAGTGGCACCTGTAATCCTGAGCTTCTGTCAGGCGTGACACATCAAACTCATTCCTTGATCTACGAGCGCGATCGACATTCCGCTTCAACGACCGGTCTATACGCCCATAAGGAACAGCAGAAACAGAGAAATGAACAGTCAGATAAGTAGGGTTGCTCCAAGAAAAAAACAATCAGATGAGTTGATTGCCTATACTTATATCAATTTGGCAAAAGAGGCATAGCAGGTAAAAAGAGAGCTCTGACCAAGCAGCAACAAAGAAAGAAAAGAGGTAGCTGCGATTTTGATATCCGAAGAGAGAGAGAGAGAGAGAGAGAGAGAGAGAGAGAGAGGGAAGCGTGGTCCAAATGCTTTAACTGTACCAGTTCTGCTTTTCTTGGCAGCGCCTGCGTCCCTCTGCGAGCAGCTGGTCCTCCGTTCATCACCACCATCCCGTCCTGCGTCACTAACACAGATTTAGCCATAGACCAAGCAGAGGCAGCAAAAATGCAAGGGAAAACAAGATTCTTCAGTGGTTCCTCATTTCTAGGATCAAAAATAGAAACTTGACCGCGGTAAAAAGTCGACATGAGAAGCATACAAAAAAATCCAGGCAGCTCCGGACAAACAAAACATCTGCTGCTTGGGGAAAGGCGTTGTGATTGAGACGTTCTAAGTACTTGTACACCATTGATTTCAGACCGGGGAGGAGCTGAGGCGTGGAGGAGGCCGCGTCCTAGGTGAAGAAACGAGGCGCTGTTCGATGGGGACCTGACCGGTGCTAATGCGTCCCTGAATCAATGCTCGGAACATGGACCGGAAACGTCCGATGGAAGTGAGAAAATTACAGGCACAGGATGATGATGATGGAAACTGCATTCAACAAAGGGGAACCTTCCTAAACCACACGCCAGGGGTGGGTAACCAGCTCGACGAAATGCAAGAAAAACAGCAGGTGTCTAGAGCTGTACTACACCCTTGATTAATCTTTGCTAGAAGTACAGCTTGAAATCCAAAAGGCTATCGTGAGAGAAAAGCAGGATCCTTCCTCCTCTGATGTTTGACCCAAATCCTTGAGAGAGAGAAGGCATTGTTGGTTACCTTGGGTGGTGGCGTCGTAGTCCGCGTGGAAATCCTGCGCCTTGCCCTTGATGTTGAACCACTTCCTGACGAGGGATTTGGACCAGGAGACCTGCGCATTCAGAGACGACGAATCAGACGCCGAAATCGACCAATGGCGGCTCGAACGGAACAGCAGATTGAAGAAGAGAAGTAGGGTGGCGCGCGCAGTACCTTGGTCTTCTTGTTGCTCTCCTCCCTCATTGTCTCATAGCAAGCCGGAGGGCCTGAACCTGAAGCAGCAGGATCGAATTTATCCGCGCCTGAGTGCCGCCGGCTCCTACTCTATTCTCCCCTCTCCTCTCTGTATGGGGCTTGGTATGGAAGGTGGCGTGGCTGCGCAAGGAAAGCTCCTCAAATCTGGAACCGATTTGCCGCTGGCTTCCACGGAATCCCGGACTCGGAACAGGGAAGCCCCCAAATCTGGGACCGAATCGAGCGCCGGGCGGGCGGCAAGAGGGGAACGCCGCCGCCAATCTCGCCTGCCAGGGATCACGCACGAATCCGGCTCGGCCTCGACCGAAAGCCGCTCCCCCAACGGATGAACGGAACCGAGGGAGCAATGCCGCTGCTCACTCACCCCGGCGAGCTTGGTCGGGTCGGGTGTCCCCGAACCGAATCACCGGAGGCCTGTGGGGGTTACTGAAGTGAAGGCTACTGGTGCCGCTACTGCTGGGAGTTGATGCTAGAGTGGTGTTGTGCGGCTTGTATGTATGCGGCGCGGGGGGGCGTACTGGTCGGTGTGCAACAAACAGCCAGCGGAAAAGGAGAGGAGAGCGGAGGAAAAGAAAGAAAATGGCGTGTCCGGTTGCGGCGAGGGCGAGAGACTGCGGGCTTCCTGATCCGCTATGCCCGTCTGCTTTCGCTTGCTGTACTGGAGCCCCCTCCCTTTTATCCCCTCTCCCGTCTGCTTTGTTTAGTATAGTGGTTCTAATGGCGACTGGCCCGCGGCCTGGCCTGCTCGCGCGAACCCAGGGCGCTAAGCTTAATCTATGCTGCAAATCTCGTCGGGGCCGAGGGTTTGAGGGTTGGGGGGAGGGAAAGGTGCGAGCTAGTACAACCCAGGCATGCACGGCCAGCACGGGAGGAGGAGGAAGAAAGGGAAGGCAATAACTCGGCGGGGCGGGCGTCTGCGTCGCAACGTAGCCGTGCGTGCGTGGGCATTGGTGACATGCCATACACCGCGGGCCTTTCCCAAAACGAGATTTCGTGAGCGCCGTTTCGTGCACACTTGCCGGAGGGTAAGGGCCCGCCCGGGCCGGGAAGCGGGCCCCGCGGGGCGCTGTCGCGTGTCGATGGCCAAGGGGGGCCCAGCGGGCGAGCGCCTGCCCCACCGTCAGTCAGGCGGCCAGCCGCGGTTCGTGGTCGCGTCTGTACGTGCCAGTTTCCATCTCGCTGTCTCCTCTCCGGCTGGGCGCCCCAACCCTTGGCACTGACAGGTGGGACCCAGGTGGCGCACCCGTCTCCAGCGTTTTTACTCCTCACCGGGGAAACCGTGCTTTTCGCTTCCACCCTTGGATGCGTCTCGCCGCGCACGTGCGTGTGTTGGTGTAAACTCTCCGTTTTTTGGGGGGTTATTTTTTTCTTGGCTTAGACCTCTCTCAATGCATAGGTGCTTAACTTGTTGTTGCTAAGCATATTTTATTTAATAAATTAGCACATAAAGTCTTTTTGCTTATGTGGCATGTTTAGCACCTATCCACGGTGAAGCAGTGGGAAGGGCGTTACATGGATCGATCGATCGATCAACACTGCTATAGGTTTGATGTAAAAAAAATAACTGCTATAGGTCCATCGGCTCCTCCCAACACGGTCGGCGCACCGTCTGAACGGGCTCGGCTGCGTGGATTTTCCGGGGGTTTTTGTCTATGAATTTTCCGTGTGACCCTGAAACGTGAAAGCTACTACTATCGTCGATTTCCTTCTTCTTCTACTAGTAACGGTAGCAAGAGACGTACAGTGACCTCCAAATTAAGCTGACCGGACGCTGGACGCATGCGCACAAAAGGTTGCCCTGAACAATAATATCTCGGCCGGAACTGGTCACGCAGAGGGGGGTCGACAGGGTTACGCACGAAAAAAGGTACTACTCCTACAGAATCAGCACGCACTTCGTCATGCATGTGCTGTTTGGACTTTGCTTTTACTGAAGCAAGTGAGCTTGTAATTAGACGTTGGGCATGGTGTCCATGGATGCGTAACTCCTTTGCATGCATGCGACCCCGGGCTTTTATGGGTTTACGTGTCCGATATACGATCGATGGCATGCATGTGTCAACACTCCCATACTAGAGCGGTGCTATACGTACGATCAAATTCGGTACGATTTTTATACGACAAGACTCATCTAATGTGGTGGGCCCGGACCTCGGGAAACGGGCCTGTCTCTTATCGTACAAATCGTATGACAATGGATCGTACGTGAGGCAGTTTCGCCCATACTAATAGATACTCGTTCCTGCTAATGGCATCCCAGAGATGCATAATTAATCCAACAGAAAAGACTAACTAAGCTTGGTACCACTACAAATTCTTTAGCCATACAGCCTGTCCGGTGGCCTCATAACATGCTACAAATTCTGCTTGCATCGTAGATCCAGCAGTTAACGTTTGTTTGGAGCTCTTCCGCGATATAGCTCCTCCCGTGAGTGTGAATATATAACCTGACGTGGATGTCATACTATCCACGCATCCGGCAAAATCAGAGTATGAATAACCAACAATTTCTAGGTTATCAGTTCTTTTATATGTAAGCATGAAATCCTTAGTTCCTTGCATATAATGCAAGACTTTCTTTGCGGCCTTCCAGTGGTCCGATCCGGGATTTGATTGGTATCTGCCAAGCATCCCAGTTACAAAACATAAGTCTGGGCATGTACACACTTGAGCATACATGATGCTTCCGACAGCTGAAGCATAAGGAATCGACTTCATCTGATCAGTTTCATATTGGTTCCTCGGACATTGAAATGTCCCAAACTTATTGCCCTTAACTATAGGAGCAGGTGAGGGTGAGCACTTATGCATAGTGAATTTTTTCAGTACTCTCTCAAAGTATGCTTTTTGATATAGTCCTAACGTTTCTCTGGACCTATCTCGATGAATCTCGATGCCGAGGACATACAAGGCTTCACCAAGATCTTTCATATCAAAACTTGATGACAGAAAATTCTTGGTCTCATGCAGCATATCCTTATCGCTACATGCCAACAATATGTCATCAACGTATAGGACCAAAAATGTGAACCTATTGCCTTTAAACTTAACGTACATGCAGTTGTCCACAACATTTTCGGTGAAACCAAAAGTTTTAATAATTTTATCAAACTTGAGGTACCACTCTCTTGAAGCTTGCTTCAAACCATAAATTGATTTCTTTAGACGACATGCTAAATGTTCCTTCCTTTCCACAACAAAGCCTTCTGGCTGAGCCATGTAAACGTTTTCTTTTAAGTCACCATTTAGAAATGCCGTTTTAACATCCATTTGGTGTAGTTCTAGGTCGTAATGAGCTACTAATGCCATTATGATTCTGAAAGAATCCTTGGTTGACACAGGAGAGAAGGTTTGCTTATAATCAATGCCTTCTCTATGTGTATACCCTTTTGCCACTAGCCTTGCCTTGAACCGTTCGACATTCCCTTTGGAATCATACCTGGTTTTGTAGACCCACTTGCAGCCTACTTTCTTAGCTCCATCAGGAACTTCTACTAAGTCCCATCCATCGTTTGAGCCCATAGATTTCAACTCGTCTTCCATGGAAACCAACCATTTGGACGAATTTTTGCTTTTAATGGCTTCCTTATATGAGGTTGGATCCTCCACCTTCCCCACATCATTCATGTCCTCCATCAGAAAAGTGATATAATCATCTGTATGGCTTTCTTCCTCTCACGTCGTGGTCTACCCATGGGCGGAGGTGGTGGTGGAACATCATCATTTTCATTATTTTCTTGGAGATCCTCATTTGTGTGATTGAACCATGAGATTCAGGATCATCAGATGTCACATTTCTTCGTATTGGAAAAAACAATCTCTTGGATAGTCGGGGATGGCACACAAAGCCGCTTCTCCTCAAGATTGATCTCCCTTAAATTTGTGACCTCATTATCCTCAAAAAATACCGCTTGCCTAGTCTCCACAAACTTGGTGGTGTGACTTGGATAATAAAAATGATATCCCTGTTGGAAATATGCCCTAGAGGCAATAATAAAAGTGTTATTATTATATTTCTTTGTTCATGATAATTGTCTTTTATTAATGCTATAACTGTATTATCCGGAAATCGTAATACATGTGTGAATACATAAACCATAATATGTCCCTAGTAAGCCTCTAGTTGACTAGCTCGTTGATCAACTGATAATCATGGTTTCCTGGCTATGGACATTGGATGTCGTTGATAACGGGATCACATCATTAGGAGAATGATGTGATGGACAAGACCCAATCCTAAGCATAGCACAAGATCGTGTAGTTCGTTTGCTAGAGCTTTTCCAATGTCAAATATCTTTTCCTTAGACCATGAGATCGTGTAACTCCCGGACACCGTAGGAGTGCTTCGGGTGTACCAAACGTCACAACGTAACTGGGTGACTATAAAGGTGCACTACAGGTATCTCCGAAAGTGTCTGTTGGGTTGACACGGATCGAGACTGGGATTTGTCACTCCGTATGACGGAGAGGTATCTCTGGGCCCACTCGGTAATGCATCATCATAATGAGCTCAAAGTGAACAAGTGGTTGGTCACGGGATCATGCATTACGGTACGAGTAAAGTGACTTGCCGGTAACGAGACTGAACAAGGTATTGGGATACCGATGATCGAGTCTCGGGCAAGTAACGTACCGATTGACAAAGGGAATTGTATACGGGGTTTTGATCGAATCCTCGACATCGTGGTTCATCCGATGACATCATCGAGGAGCATGTGGGAGCCAACATGGGTATCCAGATCCCGCTGTTGGTTATTGACCGGAGAGCAGTCTCGGTCATGTCTGCATGTCTCCCGAACCCGTAGGGTCTACACACTTAAGGTTCGGTGACGCTAGGGTTATTAGGAAGACTTGTATGTGATTACCGAAAGTTGTTCGGAGTCTCGGATGAGATCCCAGACGTCACGAGGAGTTCCGAAATGGTCTGGAGGTGAATATTTATATATGGGAAGTTGTCATACGGACACCGGAAGAATTTGGGGTCATAT